GATGCAGCCAATTGGGGAGTAACCCATCAAAAGGAAAGCCTCTTTCTCTTTTTTCTGCCTCCTCTCTCTGTGTAACTCTGACTTTCAAATAAATACATAAGTCTTAAAAAAAAGTTTATGTCCCCTCCCCAAGATGCTCAAGTTTACAAGGTGATGCAAACATGAAACCATATTAAGATGCCATTTTCACTTCCTTTATGCATTGCACAGCTTTGAAAGTTATATAATTATCAGTGAAAGTGGGTAAAAATTTTAGAGAGGGAAGTTTGGCAGTATTTGTCATAATTCAAATGCATATATTGATCCTTGCAGTTCAGCTTTGGGGAAACTGTTTTATAGATAGACTTCTGAATATAGAAATTATACTAAGTTTATTAGTTTTAGCATTATAATAGACAAAGACTGAAAATAACCTAAATTGCTTAATTAGGCTTAATTGGGCAATTTTGATAAATTATGGAACAATCATGAAATGAAATTGGACTTTCAAGGTACATTAAATCAGGGGTCTAGATTTTTTTTCTTATGATGCCAGGCAGTAAATACATCAGGCTTTGCAGGTAGTAGGGTCTCTGTGGGGACTACTTTGCTCTGATGTCATAGAAATGCCCCCATAACAATACTTAAGTGTGAATGGGCATGGCTGTGTTCCAGTAAAGATTTATTTACAAAAATAGTGACTGGCCTATGGCCCACAATTGCTGACTCTTGTATTAAAGAGAGAAACAAAGGAAAGAGCTTTGTGTGTAAACTAACAGAAGTGTATGAAAAAATATAGACAACATTGATTGTGCCTCAGATATTTGGAAAAGATAGATGAGGTGAATATTTGTACTAAGAAGGTAATAATTTAAACTTGAGTTTTTGTGAGTGTGTAGGAGCTCTGTAGATAAAAACAAAATCTTTTGTGGGATCAGTGAGAAGCATGACTGAAATAAATATTGGCAGTGGATGAAGAGGTAAGTTTGGCCCATACTTTTGAAGGTACTTGAAGCTACTGATTACCCATTTTCCGTGGGTTATAAATTAAAACAAAAATTTTTTTTTTTTTTTTTTTGACAGGCAGAGTGGACAGTGAGAGAGAGACAGAGAGAAAGGTCTTGCTTTGCCGTTGGTTCACCCTCCAATGGCCGCCGCGGCCGGCGTGCTGCGGCCGGCGCACCGCGCTGATCCGATGGCAGGAGCCAGGTGCTTTTTCCTGGTCTCCCATGGGGTGCAGGGCCCAAGCACCTGGGCCATCCTCCACTGCACTCCCTGGCCACAGCAGAGGGCTGGCCTGGAAGAGGGGCAACCGGGACAGAATCCGGCGCCCCAACCGGGACTAGAACCCGGTGTGCCGGCGCCGCTAGGCGGAGGATTAGCCTAGTGAGCCGCGGCGCCGGCCTAAAACAAAAATTTTCAACATTAAGCTCTGTTAGACTTTGATATTTTACATATTTGCTTCAAGCTTGTTTAATTTTTACTCTAAATCATGTCAAGTACTTCATTTCTCTCTTTTGAGATAATCATTTGTTGTTTTGTTATTCAAACCTTGTATTTCTACATTAACTAGATGTTTGTGTACTCCTAAGTAACACTGTATCCATTTAAGGTTTATTTTATGGTTTGTTGTCATTTCAAAATCATTTTTTGCTCAGTGTAATATTTTATGATACATGTATATAAACCACCAGTTAAGAGAAACGGTACAGTCTACAAATGCAAGGCACATGTGTCATTTTGAATTTTCCAGTAACCGCATAAAAATATAAACTGGTAAAATTGATAATATATTTTAATGACCCAATATATCCAATATTATATTATCCTAATATTATTTCAACATGTAACCAATATAAAAAAAACTAAAATAATTACCATGTTTTGCATTCATTTTTATATTGTCTTAGAAATCTGATTTTATTTTGCATTAACATTTTAATTTGTAGTTTTAAATGTTCAAAAATCTCTGCATCAGGCAGCCAGCCAGTAGCTGTCAGAGAACCACTTTTAGTGCTTAGTTGGATACACACTTCTGCTACCAGGGATCAGCCAAGTGTCAATATGTTGACATGACAGGAGAAAGTCTTTTGTGTTAGAGTTTTCTAGTACTACTGTAATGCAAAGATTCTGTATACCATAAAGTAAACCTCTATTAAGAACTGCATTTACTGTTAGTAAAATTGTTGGAGCAGAAAGGGTGATGCAAACACACTCTGCCCTCTTCTAATACATAGGCTTTCTGTGTTCAACCTAAAGGTATATCTTTCCCTGTTCTTTTGCCTTGAATAAACTGCTTAAGTATGCCCACCCCTTATTATGAGAGTTGTCACATTTTTAGTAAATCTATTGCTTTGCAATATTTGTACCTTTTCGGTGAACTAATTTGTATGCTTATTTTTGTTAAGAATGTCAAGCAGGCAACATTTGATTTCTGAGCCACATATTGTATGCCTCTTTATTCCTGCTTTTAAAGTTTCAGCCTGGTTTATGGTCATCTGACCATTATAGTCTATACTTAGATTTGTGTTTCTTTTATTCTCCATATAAATGTCCTAGTCTTTGTAGGGATTCATAACAGAAATTACCATTTATGGTACTTTAGTTTCATAAACATTATAGAGGAACTTTCCATTATGTGTTTAATACCCCTTATTATAAAGGCCCAATGGGGAAAAAATCTAGCTAAGAAAAGGTTTAGGGGAAAATTGTTTCCAATTCACTCACCCTTTACCTGGTTCTTGTTTTTTTTTTTTTTTTTCTTTCCAGAGTTCTAGAAGGCTTGTTTTAATGTCTTTTTACATGCCTACTGAAATGCTTTCTGTCATAGTGCAATTGGCATATATGTAGTAGTCTGCTAATTCTTTTAAAAACAAAGCTTTGGTATATTCTGTGTTTGATGGCTTGGTAATAGCCTTTTAATAATGGTTTTATACAGGGTGCTGTTAGTATATATATCTGCCATAAGGTGGGAGTAGAGAGTTTTATAGTTCTGATTAGTGAGGGAGACAATATTTAGAGTAGTCATAAAGCTAACTTTCTGTAAGTTACCAAAATAATTATTAGTACCATTTTTAGCATAATTTCCCTTGAGGTTAGCATGATTTCTGATTTCTGCAAGGAAATTTTTTACTCATCAGCCATTCTGAAATTGGTTACTGGTTTTTTTTTTTTTAGACTGTGAATTTCCAAATCCTTTTATTTTCTGTTGCATTTCTTTGATTAAATAATTATTTTAAAGATTTATTTCTTTATCTTGAATGTAAAAGGGGGGTGGTGTATCTTTGATTTGTTTATTCATTGTGATTGGCACTGGGCCAGGCTATAGGCAGGACCCTGGGGTCATCTGGGTCTCCCACGTGGGTGGCAGGGGCCCAACACTGGCCAGTTTCTGGCTACTTTCCCCAGACCATTAGCAGGGAGCTGGATCTGAAGGGGAGCATCTGGAATATATATCCACGCCTATATGGGACACCAGTATTGCACACCACAGTGCCATCCCCTTTAAATAATTTTTTAAGCTGTAAGCTGGGAACAGCCACTTGGATTGGAGGTGGAAATACATCCTTTTATTGGGCAAGTGGAAACAGAAAGACACAGGTGTGGTAGAAAGTAGAATGTGCAAAGGAGGCCTGGATGGGCTACCCATTATGTTAGCTCCTTACATGTGGAGCACAGAGTCCTAGAGCTAGGATTTTTTTCAAGTCTCAACATTAAATATATATGATATATATATATATATGTTAGGTGATCAATTTAGGTAGATCTGAAAAAAGTGAGATGTATCCATTCTCTTCATTAAAATCAAAATTCACATACACAAACTTTATAATTTTGGAATGAGAATTACATGGCTTCTCACCATAATTTTTTCCATATCAAGTACTAAAGGATAATCAGACCAATCCTAATAGGTCTGTTTGTCAGAAAATATTTTGAAGACGAATTTCCCCTTTTTTGTTGGGGAGAGGGATATGTACACAATTCAACAATGAAAAATACTAGATAGATTTTCATAGGAACAAATGTAAGTACTGTATGCGTAGACTGAATTTTCAAAAGTCCCATACTACCATTTGTTTTTTTTGTTTGAAGTAGGATATGCAAAGATCATCACATGGGCTACTGCTAGTAAAATATACTGTTGCTGTTTGAACATGCCAACTTAAAGACCATGTAATTTAAAGATAAAAATAATTTTAAGTGGGTTAGGTTTGGAAGTTGGATTTCATTTGAGACCCAAATTTTGGAAATTAAATAGGAAAATTTATTTTTCATTGATAGAGTGCCAGCTGATTATACATATTTCCCTATAAAAAGTATAATTTTACTTTTCTTGGGATTATTTTGATTTGCTAGAATTCCTGATAAGAGGCCTTGGGTTGCTAAGGCTTTTCACAGTTTGAAAGAGGAATGGCAGATCTTAAGCAAGGGAAATGTGATTGCAATACAATGCTGATAAAGATCACTTTGGTTATGTTCCTCTGGTTTGCCATCATGTTTTCTCGGTTAGAAGGCAGCTCCCATTTTCTCCTTGAAAATGTCCCCCATACAGCTTCTGGTGACTGGAGTATAGGAGGCTTTAGAGGTACACCTGATGTATTAAATTCTACATATATTTAATGATTATTTGTATAAATGATTGTATTACATATAAAATTTAGAAACAAAATTTTGTTTTGATGAAATAGTTTTGTTCAAGTTGTTCCTGTATAATTGGGATCACTTTGGAATGATCTGTCTTCCTAAGAGAGTCTTTCAGGTGGAAAATGTTAGGAATATGAGTAACTTTGTAAGTCTTCTGATAGACAGTGACTCCTTTTTTTCTGAAAAATAAATTTCAGTGGGTAAAACTCTACACCTATATCCAAACAAAGTATTTCTTAATTTTAGGAAGTCAGTATCTTAGGGAGCTTATTATCAGATGATTAAGCTTTTAGTTGTAAATGTGGATTTTGTCTTTCTTTTTATAATTTTTTTTTCTATGAGGGGTTGGACATAATTGCCTTATTTCATTTCAGGGATCCTTCTAAAGTAACTATTCTGGTACCTGGTGCTGGACTAGGAAGACTGGCCTGGGAAATAGCTATGCTAGGTTATGCTTGTCAAGGAAATGAATGGAGTTTTTTTATGCTCTTTTCTTCCAACTTTGTACTCAACAGGTATTTAATTTATTTTTTGCTGGAAATAGTAATTTCTCAGAATCAGATTGACTTGCCTATTTTTTGAACATTCTGAATTTGAAGATAATTACACAGTGTTTGATTACAATGCATATCAAAAATGTTTAAAATCAATTCATATATAAATTACCACTTAAGCCAATTGTCTAGGTGAAACAGGATGAATAAGTGACTCTTTAGAAAGTAGTTGGGAATTCTATGAAATTGAAATGATTTCTATATAGAATCTTCAAGCCTAAGACTGATAGAGGAAGAGTATATTCTCTTTGTTCTTTTTTTTTTTTTTTAAGATTTATTTTATTTAATTGAAAGGTAGAGTTTCAGAGAGAGGTGGAAACACAGAGAGAGAGGTCTTCCATCTGCTGGTTCACTCCCCAGATGGCTGTAATGACAAGGGCTTTATCATCTCTTTGTCTCTTGAGTGAGATAGAGTTTACTGTAGCAGTCACAGCTATTTTCCTTAATCAAGTTCTTATAAATTGGCCAAGTATGCTCACATAATTAAGCTGGAAAGATCTGTCAGAACTTCAGCAGCCTCCTTTGTAAGATAGGGAAAAAGAGTTACTTTTAAGCCAGAACTGGTGTTAGAGGAAAATATCTGCCTTGTTTGAATAATATGTTGACTCTGATGGCAATACGAGTTTTAGGGGAGTGGTGAGAAAGGAAAAAGTTGAGGGTTGTAAAAATTAATTAAAAGAGATAGCAAACTTAGTTGAAACCAGCATTACTTTTTAAAAATTAGTTGGACTATTTTTACTTGAGTTTTCAGTTCAGAAATGAATTTTTATAAATTTTTTATTTATTTATTTTTTTATTTGATAGGCAGAGTTAGACAGTGAGAGAGTGAGAGACAGAGAGGTCTTCCTGCCATTGGTTCACCCCCTAAATGGCCACTGCGGTCGGCGCACTGCACCGATCCGAAGCCAGGAGCCAGGTGCCTCCTCCTGGTCTCCCATGTGGGTGCAGGGCCCAAGCACTTGGGCCATCCGCCACTGCCTTCTCGGGCCACAGAAGAGAGCTGGACTGAAAGAGGAGCAACCGGGACTAAAACCCGGGGTGCCGGCGCCGTGGGCAGAGGATTAGCCTAGTGAGCCACAGCACTGGCCCCTTTATAAATGTTTTAAATATTTATTTATTTGAAAGGCAGAGTTACAGAGAGGCAGAGAGAGAGAGAGAAGTCTTCCATCCGCTGGTTCATTCCCCAAATGGCCACAACAGCCAGAACTGGGCCAATCTGAAGCAGGGGCTTCTTCCCGGTCTCCCATGTGGGTACAGGGGCCCAACCACTTGGGCCATCTTTTACTGCTTTCCCAGGCCATAGAAGAGAGCTGGATCAGAAGTGGAGCAGCTGGGACTCCAACTGGCACCCATATGGGATGCTGGCGCTGCAAGTGGCGGCTTTACCCCCTGTACTACAGCACCAGCCCTTGAATTTACCTTTATTTTTGTTCTGTCTTTCAATCCATGATTGGTTGCTCATCTACATGTATATTTAAATTTTCAGATAATCGGATGGGTTGTGGTAGTGTCACTGTAGGTACTATAGAAAACCTTCAGTCATATTTTAGTGTTTAGATTTTCTTGGCAAAATGTTTAGTTAACACTGAATTTTTGCTCATATTTTGCAGATGCTCTGAAATTAATAAATACAGACTTTATCCCTGGATCCATCAGTTTAGCAATAACCGGAGATCAGCTGATCAGATTCGACCCATCTTTTTCCCTGATGTTGACCCCCACAGTCTTCCTCCTGGTTCTAACTTTTCTATGACTGCAGGAGATTTTCAGGAGATTTATTCAGAATGCAGTAAGTCCAAAGCAACAGATCTTGTCTCTATTCTAAATGCAATGAGCTGATTTTATCCTAAGCCACCATTTGTGATATAAGGTATACCTCAGTGATAAATTTAGTTTATTTTCAAGGTCACATAGCAGGAAGTGATGTGAACTATAAAGAAATAAAGGAACTTGAACTCTGTTGAATCTATTAATACAAGACAACATGAAGCAGAGTTCAGATGCATAATGAATGAAATAAAGATGAAAGTAGGTCAGTGTAAGAAGGGACAGGGTGAATGGCATTCAAGACAAACAGATGTAGAAAAGTAAGAATGAATGAGGTAACTGGGGACAGTAGCATAAATAGTCTTACCAGGGAAAAAAATGCTGGAGGATACAACTAGAAAAGTACCTTGTGGAAGCCTGTAAATTTTGGACTTCAGCATGGCAAACTGCCAAGATATTTGAGTGAAATATTAGAAAAGGGAGATAATAATGGGGAAGGGTACGGGGTGGGATTGGCAGTGAAAAGGAAAAAGAAAAACAATGCTGTGGGGGTCACAAAGATCATTCACTTAGCAGATAATTTGTTGAACACCTACGAAGTACCAGGCATAGTCTAGCCATTCAAAAGTGAACAGTGAGCAAAAAACGTCTTTGTCCATATGGGACTTACATTCAAGTAGAGAAGAAGGGAGAGACAAAGGCAGAGAGGAAGAGGGAGCAAGGCTATAAGTAAATCTAATGTTGTGAGGAAGAAAAATGAGGTAGGGTAGAAGGGGTGCAGAGTGACTGGGGGCCTCTTGTATAGAGTTGTCAGGGGAAGCTTTTCTAAGAGCAGAAACTAAAAGAGAACCTCAGCATGAAGAGGCAAACCATACAGATCTTGGGGGTATAGAGAATGCTGCAGAAGAACGGAATGGTGAGGAAATAGGTACTCCCTCCTTTCCCAGGTGATTATCTTGCATTGTGAATATTTAGATATTTCAGTGTCATTCATTTCTCTGTTGGCAGTAAGTGTCCGCAGTCTTTCTGAAAGTTGCCAGAATTTAAATGCAAATTTAATCAGAATTTAGAGTCCAAGTGCCTGTTTAGTTTTGCTTGGTTCTAGGTGAAGGCTAGAAGTTGAATAGATGATGAAAACTCTTACAGATATCATTTGGAAATGATATCTAGTGATAATATGTTAAAAATGATTCAGATTGATTATGAGGTTATTAAAAAACCTTTTTTAAACTACAGTAAAGTATCTCATTTAAATGATTATTTGGTTAATTTATCAGTGTTGATCAGAGGAGTTTGGCTTCTATATGCTTATAGTTAAAATATCAATACTAAGAGGTAACTGACGAGTTTAGAGGAAAAGTGAATAATGTAACATATGCAATAATTTGCTTTTTCTTGATTAGATACCTGGGACTGTATTGCTACCTGTTTCTTCATAGATACAGCTCACAATGTAATTGATTATATTGATACAATATGGAAAATACTCAAACCAGGTGGAATTTGGATAAATCTAGGTAAGTTCTTTATTATTTATTAAAGTTTCACACATTAATCTGAATACTTACTGGTGTTTTACATTTGCTAACTTCACAGTACCCATTGTTCATGGAAGTTTTAGTTATATGTGTATTTTTTTTTTAAGATTCTTGTTTTATTCGTTTGAAAGGCAGAGTTACAAGGGGCAGGAAGAGAAATAGAGAAAGAAGATCTAATATCCACTGGTCACTCCCCAAGTAGCCACAATAGCCAGAGCTGGGCCAGGCCAAAGCCAAGAGCCAGGAGTTCCACCCAGGTCTCCCACATGCATCCTCCACTGCCCTCCCAGGCACATTAGTAGGGAGCTGGATTAGAAGTGAACAGCTTTAGGGCTGGTGCTGTGGCATGGCAAGTGAAGCCTCTGCCTGCAGTGCCGGCATCCCATATGGGCGCCAGTTTGAGTCCCGGCTGCTCCACTTCCCATCCAGCATTCTGCTATGGCCTGGGAAGGCAGTAGAAGGTGGCACAGGTCCTTGGGTCCCCACACCCACATGGGAAGACCTGGAGGAGGCTTCTGACTTCGGATCGGCATAACTGTGGCCACTGTGGTAATAGGGAGTGAACCAGCAGATGGAAGACGCCTCTCTCTCTCTGCCTTTCCTTCTCTGTAACTCTGACTTTCAAATAAATAAATACCTCTTTAAAAAAAAAAAAGTGAACAGCCAGGACTTAAGCTGGCACCTATATTAGATGCCGGCATCGAAGAGAACCCCTTAACCCGTTACATGGGCCCCACTGTATGTGTTTTAAAACCTCTGGTTTTCTGTAGAATGCATCCTAGTGGTGATGCCTTCAAAAGCAGTGGGAGCCAAAAGTTGTATTTCACGTTAGGTAAATCTCAAACATTTCACTTTCAAAGTACATTAATTATTAGTCTGAATGGGTAATCATTTCTTTATTTTGCCTGTTTGAGGGAAAAGATTGTATCTCTTCCTATGAAATCCTACTCTTGGTAAAGAGTAGGGTTGGAAAATTTTTTGTGGTTACCTTGAGCTTTAGAAAGAATATACATTTATGCAAAAAACCTTTTTACTACATCCTGCTGCTCAGTGCTAGAAATTAGATGGTAAATATGACATCACCCTCTTATTTAGTTTGAAGGAAATTGCCAGTTGTTTCCTCTTCAGCACAAAGGGAGTATAATGATAGTATCAAGATAAATATATATGTCTTTTTCAATGAGATAAAATCTATGTTCAGAAAGACATCAAAGCTAGGGGTGAGCATTTGGCACAGCAATTAAGATACCACTTGGGAAGTCTACAGCCTATATTGGAGTCCCAAAGTTTGATCAAGTCCTGTTTCCCCCTTAGTTCCAGATTGCTGTTAATGAGCACCCTGGAAAGCAGCATGTGATGGCTAAAGTGCTTCAGTCCCTGCCACCCATGTGGAATTCCTGGATTGAGTTCTCGGCTCCTTTTGCCTGGCCCAGCCTTGGCTGTCACTGGCTTTTAAGTAGTGAATTAGCAGATGGGAGATCTCTTTCTTTATCTATGTGTCTTTCAGATAATTAAAAAAAGACATCAAAGTTAGAATATAAAGGTTTGCAAGATGAGGGTCTTCATACTATATAAAAACACCAACATATTCATAAGTCCTTCCTCTTCAGGATGGGTATAGTTTTGTTGCTGGGTTCTATCACCTAGTCTTTTTTTTTTTTTTTTTTTTTTTTTTTGACAGATAGAGTTAAACAGTGAGAGAGAGAGAAAGGTCTTCCTTCCGTTGGTTCACCCCCCAAATGGCCGCTACGGCCAGTGCACTGCGCCGATCTGAAGCCAGAGGCAGGTGCTTCCCCCTGGTCTCCCATGTGGGTACAGGGCCCGAGGACCTGGGCCATCCTCCACTGCCCTCCTGGGCCACAGCAGAGAGCTGGTCTGGAAGAGGAGCAACCGGGACTAGAACCCGGCGCCCATATGGGATGTCGGCGCTGTAGGTGGAGGATTAAGCAAGTAAGCCACGGCGCCGGCCCCCACCTAATCTTTTTAATGATCTTATTTTAACAGAGATTTTGCCCTTAGGACTACCCCTAGAAGTAGTAGTTAAGTGATTTCCAAACATTTCTTCAGAATTCTGTAGGATCTGATGAATGCAGCTATAAAATGCAATCATCAAAATAAGGAACAAATATAACAAACCTCAGACCTTCTTTAAAAGTAGTTTAACTTTTGGGCCGGCGCCATGGCTCAATAGGCTAATCCTCCGCCTTGCGGCGCCAGCAAGCAAGTCCTGGTCGGGGCACCGGATTCTGTCCCGGTTGCCCCCCTTCCAGGCCAGCTCTCTGCTACGGCCCAGGAGTGCAGTGGAGGATGGCCCAAGTGCTTGGGCCCTGCACCTGGCTCCTGCCTTCGGATCAGCGCGATACGCCGGCCGCAGTGCGCCGGCTGCGGCGGCCATTGGAGGGTGAACCAATGGCAAAAGGAAGACCTTTCTCTGTCTCTCTCTCTCACTGTCCACTCTGCCTGTCAAAAATAAAAAAAAATAAAAAAAAAGTAGTTTAACTTTTGGAAAACTTCCAGGTAATGATTAAAAAATGTTACCTGCTGGGTATTTACTTGCTCAATGTGAATTAGGTACTGTGTTAGCCCCTTGCACTCTGTTTAATATCAAGGCTACTCTGTAAGAGTATTGAGATGGCACTATCTTATAGTGAAGAAACTGAAATTTGGGTTAAGTAACTAGCAGAAAAGATCTGTAGATTATATGTGGCAGAGACAGGCTTGTAGCCCAGAGCAAATTTCTTGGATACTCCAGGTCAATTTATAACTCAGCATTACCATGACCTGTATTTATGTGATTTGAAACTTTTGATACTAGTTACTGAGTTATGGTAAGGTTTTGTCTATTTCCAAAGCACTTGCCTTTTTTTTCACAGAAATAACTTATTGAACATTTACTTTATTGGATTACTAATATTTTATTAAGTTATGTAATAATAACAGTCTGAAAAAATAAAATTGGCTCCTCGTAAGAATAGTGTTTGGTAACACTATTTAAATGTGCTGCAGTGTTGCTGTGATCTGTCATGGGCAACATAAATAACATTGGTTAATTGGGAGTAAAATAGGAGAGCTTTCACTCTTAATAGAGTTAGAATAAAAGAGAAACATAGTCCTTATTTGGAAGGTTAATACTTTTTACAAGTAAAGTCCTTTGCATGTATAAGTTAAAGAATACAAAATAATAATAATAATTTCCTTATTAGTGCTTTTCACTGTTATGCCACGTATTTATTATTTACTCCATATTTCTCCTATCCAGTCTTATGGCAGTTTATTTTATTTATTTGAAAGAGTGACAGAGAGGAGAGAGATAAAGATATTCTGTTCAGTGGTTCACTCTCCAAATGGCTGCAATGAAACCAGATGCCTGGAACTCATCCTGGTCTCCTATGTGGGTGGCAAGGGGGAGAGGGACAAAGCAAGAAATCATGAGTTCTGGGCCGGCGCCGCGGCTCACTAGGCTAATCCTCCGCCTAGCGGCGCCGGCACACCGGGTTCTAGTCCCGGTTGGGGCGCCGGATTCTGTCCCGGTTGCCCCTCTTCCAGGCCAGCTCTCTGCTGTGGCCAGGGAGTGCAGTGGAGGATGGCCCAGGTGCTTGGGCCCTGCACCCCATGGGAGACCAGGAGAAGCACCTGGCTCCTGGCTCCTGCCATCGGATCAACGTGGTGCGCCGGCCGCAGCGCGCCGGCCGCGGTGGCCATTGGAGGGTGAACCAACGGCAAAGGAAGACCTTTCTCTCTGTCTCTCTCTCTCACTGTCCACTCTGCCTGTCAAAAAAAAATAAATAAATAAATAAATAAAAAAAAAAAAGAAATCATGAGTTCTGTGTCCTCTCTTCTTATGAGGACACTAATCCTGTTGGATTAGAACTCCACTCGTATGCCCTCCTTTTACGTTAATTGCTTTCTTCGAATTCCTACTTCCAAATATATTTTCACTGGGAACTGGACTTCTGCATAAACATGTGGAAGATACACCAATCAGCCCATAAAATCCCTCTTCCCTCACTATCTGCATCCAGTTGATGTACAAATTGTATCTCTTAAAGCTCTTTAGTAACTTTTTTTTTTAAAGATTTATTTTATTTATTTTGAAAGAGTTACAGAGAGAGGTAGAGAAAGAGGTCTTCCATCCGCTGGTTCATTCCCCAGATGGCTACAATGGCCAGAGCTGTGCTGATCCAAAGCCAGGAGCCTCTTCTGGGTCTCCCACGTGGGTGCAGGGGCCCAAGGACTTGGGCCATCCTCCACTGCTTTCCCAGGCCATAGCAGAGAGCTGGATCGGAAGAGGAGCAGCTGGGACTAGAACCGGTGCCAATATGGGATGCCGGTGCTTCAGGCCAGGGCTTTAACCCGCTGCGCCACAGCACTGGCCCCTTTAGTATCTTTTTTTCAAAAAAATATTTACTGATTTATTTGCAAGGCAGAGTTAGAGATCTTCCACCTGCTGGTTCATTCACCAGATGGCTGCAATGGCTGGAGCTGGGCCAATCTGAAGCCTGGAGCCAGGAGCTTCCTCCCGGTCTTCCACCTGGGTGCAAGGGCCCAAGTGCTTGAACCACCCTCCACTGCTTACCCAGGCACATTAGCAGAGAGCTGAATGGGAAGTGAAGCAGCTATGACTTGAACTGGTGCCCATATGAGATACCAGTACTACAGGCAGTGGCTTTACCCAATACGCCACGGTGCAGGCCCCTCTTTTTAATAACTCTTGAATCTCTTTCAGTCCCAGGATTTTTCAGCTGTGGCACTATTGACATTTGGGGTTGGATCATAAATGGGGATAGCAGAGAGTCTGGTATATCGTAAGATGGTTAACAGACTCTCTGGCCTCTACCTACTAGAATCCAGTAGTAATTTCAAGTTGTGACAAAACTGTCTGTGGGGCAGGGGTGTGGCACATGGTTAAGTTGCTAGTTGGAATGTCCACTTGTTGATGTCCTGCCTACAGTGCTTGCAGCCCAGCTTCCTGCTAATGA